TCGGCGGGTCGGCTGCTGGGCGGCTCGGCTGCTGGGCGGCTCGACTGCTGGGCGGCTCGGCGGCTGGGCGGCTTGGCTGCTGGGCGGCTCGGCGGGGCCGCTGAGAGGGCGGCGTCCGGGGCCGCTGGGAGGAGGCGGCGGGGCCGCAAAGGTAAGTGGCGGGGCCGCGGAGGTAGGTGGCGGGGCCGCACAGTGAGGTGGCGGGGCCGCGAAGGTAGGTGGTGGGGCCGCACAGGTAGGTGGCGGGGCCGCGGAGGTAGGTGGCGGGGCCGCACAGTGAGGTGGCGGGGCCGCGAAGGTAGGTGGCGGGGCCGCACAGGTAGGTGGCGGGGCCGCGGAGGTAGGTGGCGGGGCCGCACAGTGAGGTGGCGGGGCCGCACAGTGAGGTGGCGGGGCCGCGAAGGTAGGTGGCGGGGCCACACAGGTAGGTGGCGGGGCCGCACAGGTAGGTGGCGGGGCCGCAGAGGTAGGTGGCGGGGCCGCGGAGGTAGGTGGCGGGGCCGCATAGTGAGGTGGCGGGGCCGCGAAGGTAGGTGGCGGGGCCGCGGAGGTAGGTGGCGATGGGCGCGACGGGCGCGACGGGCGCGACGGGCCGAAAGGGCGGCGCGACTCGGGCCGGCGCAAAACGCGCTCCGGGCAGGAAAAAAAAAATTTCGTGGTGGTGGGCCCTAGGAATCGTTCCCACTAGGGAACCTGCTCGATACCATGATAAGAAACGAGGAATGAAATGACTAAGTGAAAGTTGGGTACAAGAAGCAAACCCTAGAAAACTGTACCCCATATGTGCTACCCCACTATAGCCTACAGTAGCTATGTCATATAAATCTGACAAGGAGTGGGAGCGCTGGGAAACGGGCGATTAAGCACCGCTGTTAGCACACCATCGGCGCGTGCAATGTACTCCTTTGATCGGCGAGATATGGGGGTGTCTAGGCGGCCGCTTTCGGCGTTTGTTGCGGCAGCAGGGGGACGTGCACTTGCAACTCGCTGATCGCGGGGGGGCTATCGGGTGGACGACCAGTCATTTTCATCCTATCTCATGGGGTCTTTGAAGGCGTTGGTTGGTGTGGCCTTGTAACTCGCCCAGGCTCGAGTCATTTTGCTTCGCGTTGCGTCACCTATTGGGGGGGGAGGGGCAGATATTTACTTGGTGGACAGGGAGGGGGAGGACACTGTCGACGAGGGGGGAGCTCTTTGGGTGGAGGCTCCGTATTCGGTGGACGCTCATGTATGAGGGGCTTGCGTTGTTTACGTGGGAATTCATATCTCGAGTATTGTGGTCGCTTGGTGAGTTAGTGTTTAGATTGGGGCAGCGGTCATCGTTTTGGATGTTCGGGGCATGTTATTATTTGGTCTAGTCGTGCGCGTTATGCGGTTCGTTGTAATTACAAATACAGGAAATCATGCCTCTCTTCGTGATGGTTATAAAGAATATAGTGGCCATGTAGGATTGGTGTATGGACACTGAATACGTGGCATGCGTAAGTGTCAAATATATAATATCTGGTATAGGCTGTAGTGAGGTGCCTTCTAGGGGGTGCAACTTTTAGCTTTGCATATTTGTACCCCATCCTGTTTCTAGTTCACACATTCCGTTGTGCATGCTTCTTAAGATGGTATCAGTTAGGTTCGTTCCTAGCCTAGCCTAGCCCGTGTTCGCGCCCTCCGCGCCCTAGCGCCCTCCGCGCCCTAGATCCCTCCGCGCCCTAGCGCCCTCCGCGCCCTCCGCGCCCTCCGCGCCCTAGATCCCTCCGCGCCCTAGCGCCCTCCGCGGCCTCCGCGCCCTAGATCCCTCCGCGCCCTCGTGCTCTCGCGCCCTCCGCGCCCTCAGCGCCCTAGCGCCCTCCGCGCCCTCCGCGCCCTCCGCGCCCTAGCCCGTCGCCCCAGTTCGCGCCCTAGCCCGTCGCCCCAGCCCGCGCCTCAGCCCGTCACCTTAGCCCGCGCCCCAGCCCGTCGCCCCAGCCCGCGCCCGAGCCCGTCGCCCCAGCCCGCGCCCTAGCTCGTCGCCCCAGCCCGCGCCCTAGCCCGTCGCCCCTGCCCGCGCCCCAGCCCGTCACCCCAGCCCGCGCCCTAGCCCGTCGCCCCAGCCCGTGCCCTAGCCCGTCGCCCCAGCCCGCGCCCTAGCCCGTCGCCCCAGCCCGCGCCCCAGCCCGTCGCCCCAGCCCGCGACCTAAACCGTCGCCCTCGCCCGCGACCTAACCCGCGCCCTCGCCCTAGCGACAGCCCGCGCCCTAGGCCGCGCCCTGCCCTAAGCCGCGCCCTCGCCCTAGGCCGCGTCCTCGCCCTCAGCAGCGCCCTAGCCCTAGGCCGCGCCCTGCCCTGAGCCGCACTCTGCCCTAGGCCGCGCCCTAGCACTAGGCCGCGCCCTGCCCTAGCTTGCACCGTCCGCGCCTAGCCCGTTCACGCGCCCTACCCGCGCCCTCGCCCTTAGCCCGCGCCCCTTAGCTCGCTACCCGAGTGTGCCCCCACTCTGCCCAACCGTTGGCCCCTCCTCTTAACCTGTTCCCCGACCCCACGCCATTCCTACTGCGGTTGGCTTCCGTTTCAGCGGCTGGTAGCCGCTCTTCCCACAGGTAGCGCGACCTAGGACCGGTTAGATTCCCACTCCTAGACTAGTTTCCTCCGACGGTCTCTAGTCTATGTCCAGCTGGCGTCTCTAGCTGTCTCTAGTCTCCCTTCTCGCTTCTAGCTCCGCCTGCTCCGTGCTCCAGCCGCCTCTAGCCTAGCCTCCAGTATGGACTCCCGCCGCCTTCGTTTCGATGCGGAGGGACGCCTGATAGAGTTTGGCACCTGGCTCCGCCAGACTCAGCGCTACCTCACCAGTCAGCGCTAGGACGGCGCAACCATGTACGCCCACGCGTCCGGCGCCCTCCACGCACCCCAGCGTCCCGAGCCCCTCCTTGCCGTGCCCCCCCCGACTCCGGAGGCGCACGCGGACTACGCTCGTCTCGTCTTGGTGCGGGACCTTTGGGACTCCTGTGACGCTGCGGCTGCACTCGCGCTGACCGAGCTCCTTCCACCAACTGAGGCCGCTCACTTCGACCTGGTAGAGACTACGAAGGAGGTGTATGATGCTATTTCTGCACGCTATTCCACCCCTTCCTCTGCCTCCCTCAGCCGCATCCTCATGATGTTCGTGTTTCCCGACCTCGGCTCGTTTGCGACTGTCTCCGACCTAGCCACACACTTGCGCTCCCTTGTCGCTAGCTACCGAGCAGCTTGCACTGAGGCTCAGCTTCTTCTTGCTCCCCCCCCTATCTGGCTCACCGTCCACTGGGTAGTCACTCGTCTCCCTGACCGCCTCTCCTCTGCCCGTGACGCACTTCTCCAGCAGCACCCCAGTGAGCTTACGATTGATCTTCTCGAGGCCACTCTCGGGAAGATCGAGAGTAACCTCCTCTCTGTTGCCTCAGCCACTGACGCAGTTGCCCCTCGTCTGTTTGAGGGGTGTGCTGTCCCCCAGCTTCCTACCTTCACTGCTACTCGTGCCTCTGCTGCTGTGTCGGTCTCTGAGGACACTGCAGCTGTTTCTGCCGTTGACAGGCAGAAACGGGGCAAGGGAGGCAAGAAAGGGGGGAAGGGGGGTGGCGGCGGTGGAGGAGGTGGCAATGGTGGAGGCTTTCCTGGGGGTGGCAGTGGTGGCGGTGGCGGTGGTGCCTCAGGCGGAGGGAGCTCTGGAGGAGGTGCTGACCCGCCTGCTGGAGGAGGTTCGACCAGCGGCGGTGCGGGGCCCCAGCAGCAGCAGCCACAGCAGCAGCAGCCACAGCAGAGACAGTAGCAACAGCAGGGTCAGCAGCAGTGGCAGGCACCACAGCAGTTTCAGTCGTTGGGACCACCACTGCAGTGGGGTCCGCAACAGCACTGGGGCCCTCCGCCACAGTGGGGACCTGGAGGACCCGGGAGCACTGGCCGCAGCAGTAGCACTACCAGCTGGGCCCCTCGCCCCCCGCGGCGCGACACCGGCCCTTGCGACCACTGGTGCGTCACGGACCGGGCAGTCCCTGTGTCTGCGGCCGCGACGACCACTCTGCGGCGCGGTGCTTCCGCCGCCTCGACGACCTTTACCGTGCTCGCTGGGGTCCTGCGGCGACCACCCCGCGCTGGGCTCGCCTGCTAGCCCGTAAGATTCCTGTATTTGAACTGTCTATGGACGATGCTCGTCAGTATGCTTCGTATGCTGATGTTGACTATAGTGCTGATGGATCAGTGTGCTCGCGTGTTCGTAGTCTAGGATGCTTGCCTCCTGTTAGTGTAGACATGTGCCTCTCTAGTCTAGGTGCTTGTGTTTCTGCTCTAGGTGCTTGTGTTTCTGCTCTAGGTGCTTGTGTAGCCACCGGACCTGACATGCCTCTGGCTGAGGTGTCTCTGTTGTTCACACTGGACTCTGGCGCGTCGCAGTGTTTCTTCCGCTATCTCTGGCTGATCCTTCTTCAGGACCAGGCGTTGCGCGCAGATCCACCACCCTCGCATGCCCTGTGGTCCCCTCTGGTGTCCTGCGCGGCCTCCACATCCCCTCGTTCACTCGGAACTTGGTGGGTGTTGGATACCTCCAGGAGAGGGGGATCACCGTTACCGTTGTGGGGGGTGGGAGGACTGCGGTCTGTACAGACGCCGCTACGGGTGCTGTTCTGGCCACGTTCACCAGGTGTCACCGCATATGCACTTAATGCATATGCAATAACAGTAGGATGATGGTGTAGGGAGGGCTTGCAGTTGCAGTTATCGGAACATTAGATAATTATAAGAAGGAGCAGTTAAGAATAGTTGTAGGTGTAGAGCGCAGGAAAGTTACTGTTAGGAAGGGGTGTAGAAGGGGGGAAATTGGGTAAGGAGCGGTTGGGATTGTGAGGGAAAAGACACCGAAGGGCGAAATGTGCAGCCAAGCAATCCCAACCCCGAGCCGCACATTTGGGAATGTGCAGCCTGGGGTTGGGTAAGGTCAGGCACAACCAACCCCTCGATGCTTTCTTGGTGCTATTCTTTCTTAGCAGTGAAAGTTGTCATTCGAGCCTCTAGCACTCTGTGGCACACACCAGGAGGGAACCTGTGGGGTGAGGGAGGAATCCCGTTCATAATACCAAGAAAGCCCGTATCGAGCGGTTCGAGCGAGTAGCATAGAATGGATAAGTATGAACTGCGGTGGGGCAGAGTGTTCAGTCGACGAGAGGATGACGGGCCGGGGGAGAATCGCACGCAGGAACGCGGATGGTCAGTGGAGCGTCGATCTCCCGGGAGGCCCGCTTTCCGCGCGGATCGGGTCCCCCTTGAGCCGATCCGACGAGACAGAGGTTTCGGCCACGGCGGAGTGAACGATGAAAGGCGCAATGCGGCGACGGGCGGCGCGCCGTGGCGGCGGGATACGTTCCACCTGAGCGGCGGGCCGTACCACTCACCGGAGGAAGGGAGGCGGCGGCGTGATGAGCGAGGCCGCTGGAGGGGACGCGAAGAGCTTGGAGGAGGCGAAGCTGCTGGCGGAATGCACGCTGATGAAAGCGCGCGGGCCGGGACGACGCTGGAGAACGAAGCCGAGGATGCGGCGGAGGAGCACGAGCCCATCCCCGAGCAGGCAGGAGAAAGTCCGGATGAGCCGGACGGAGCAGAGGAGGGAGAATCCGCACCAACCCACGAGGCGGCCGACTCGGATGACGAGGCAGAGAAGGACGAGGGGGCGGACGGAGCAGGAATCACGCCGGGACGACCCCAATCGTCAGGAGGGACATCGCGCAAGCCATGCAGCGCAGCAGGAGCGACCGGCGCGGTTGGACTACGTGCGCGAACTACAGTCGCGGGGATCCCGCAGGGGAGAAAAGACTGAGCGCTCGCGGACGTCAGATGAGCTGCGTCGCCAAGTGGAGCAGCGCGGTGCACGGCAGCAGGGAGAAGGGCGCGGGAACGAGCGACAGACCCCGCGCGGAGGAGGACGACGGGGGGAATCCCGCTCGCCCGAGCGGCAGTGGCACCAGAGAGGAGTGTCGCGCTCCCCGCGCCAGCAGAGGCGGTGGCACCAGCGGCCCAGAGAGGAGTCGCGCTCGCCCGTCCAAGGCCGCGGGCGCGAGGGAAGGCAGGACGAGGCGAGAGGCTCACCTGTCGGCCAGTGGTGGTACGGAAGGAGCGAAGGGGGATGGTCGCCATCCCCGGTGAGACATACAACCTACGAGGCGCGGGGGCAAGGAGGAGAGAGAAGCCGCCACTCGCTGGCAAGGCATTGGGCGTCGCGAGACAAGGGAAGGGGGAGCCACCGAGAGAGCGCGACCAGGAGTGGGGGCCTGGCGTATGGGGCGGAGAGGGCCCGCGAAGCAAGAGAGGGCTTGGACAGGGCTAACCGTGGGAGGATACGGGAGATCGGCCGGAAGGGCGAGCAACGCGTGGGGAGAAGGGAGAGGAGGCCCAGCCGCGGCACCAAGGGTGGAGGTGCCGAGGAGGTTTTCGGGCGACCAGCGGGCGGGGCCCTCACTCAAGAATTACCTAATGCAGATCGGCAACGTGCGGTATTGCTGCGACAGGAGCGGCACAGACCCGGTCGACTTCTTCCTGAGCCTGCCCAACACACTGGAGGGGGAGGCGGAGACACTGTACCGCATGAGGATGGAGGAGTTTCTGTGGAGGGCAGGGAGGTATGGGGAGGACCCCACCGAGGCCTTCCTAGAGAAACTGCAAAGGCAATTTCCCGGGCACACGGCCGAGAAGGTTAGGGAATTCCAAGAGTTCAGGAGGGGGAGAGAGGAGTCACTGCTGACGTAATACAACAGGTTGATCAATGTGGCGGAAGACGTGAAGTGCTCTGACGGCAGCCTGCTCATTAGCAAGTTCCTGGGGAGGCTGGACGAGGCCCTGGGGGGAGGACTGAGAATGAGGGTGTATGAGCTGGGCGCAGAGGCAAGCTTGGAAGAGGTGTTTGACTTGGCAGAGAGGGTAGAGCTCGCTCAGAGGAAGTATGAGGCTTACTTGCCCAGGCCTGCAGAGAGGAGCCGTCGGCCAACATGGGCTGCGGCAATGATACCAGAGGGGGCAGGGCGAGTAGAGGAGCGAGGGGAAGCCGGAGTTGACACCAGAACCTGTCACAGGTGTGGACAGCCAGGACACCTACGCAGAGACTGCAAGAATTGTGACGGCTGTGGGAAGCCAGGACACAGGAAACGGGAGTGCCCAGATGCAGCCAGGTGCGAGATCTGCAAGAAACGGGGGCACGAGGCGAGGGACTGCTATCACAGGGAGGGAGGGCCTAGGAGACACCCAGAGGAGCTGCAGAGGCAAATCAGCAGGCTACAGGCGCAGCTGAGGGCAACAGGGCTGAAAGGAGGAACTGAGGCAGGGATGTACGCTAGAGATGAGGAGGGGGAAGAGGTGGAGCAAGATGTGCAGTGCGCACTCATGGCATGGAGAGGGAGGGAAGAGATGGGGCTGAGGATCAGGGGGAAGGATGGCAGGCGTGAGCAGGGAAGGAAGGAACGAGCCAAGGGAGAAGAGCCGGCTGAGCCCACCCTGGAGCGAGCCCCCGCCCGCCATCCCCAGGAGAGGCTGGCTTGCCAGACCTCAGTGCTGCTGCTGGAGAGGGGAGCCATGGAAGTAGAGGGAGAGAAGGTGAGGACCGCCATCATAGACACCGGGGCGCAGAGTGTAATGCTGGGCAAGGGGATGGCGGAGAAGCTGGGGCTACTGGCGCCAGAGAGGCATGTGGCAAAGGGGATGCTGGTGATGACTGCAGAAGGAGGGGAGCCCAAGTGGATGCCATGCACCGGAACGACCATAGAAGTGACTCTGCTGCCGGGGGGGGAACACGAGACCAACATCCGCATGAAGTGTGGAATTTCAGAGTCGGAGGACTTTGATGTGTTGGTGGGTACCGAGCTAGTGTTTGCTGTGGGGATGACCATCTGTACTTGGACAGAGAGGGTCGAGTTTAGGACGCGGTACTGGAAGAAGGAGGGGCCCGTGGGAGAGCTGCCAGTGCGGTTTGTGAAGGTGGAGCCCAAGAGAGCATATCAGGCCGTGGGGGAGCTGCAAGCTGGGGAGCGGCAGGTCGAGGAGTTGAGAGGGATGGCAGGAGTGAGAGAGGGAGCCGGGATGAGGTGGATGGACGAGCCAAGGCGACAGAGTGACTGGCAGCAGCCCATCCACCTGGTGGAGCTGTTTGGAGGTATAGGGGCAGGCCTAGCCGCGGTGGTGAAGAGTGGCATAGGCGTGAAGAGGTGGACTTACGTGGAGAAGGAGCCGGGGGTGAGGAGGATGGCGGAGCATCACACATGGAAGCTGCAAGCGGAGTTCCCTGATCTACTGCATGGGGGGGGTGATCCGGGAAGCCATGGGAGGAGCCACCCATGACGTACAAGAGATAAGCGAGAGGGAGGTGGCGAGCTGGGGGCAGGTGGACCTGCTGGTGGCAGGGTGGGAGTGCCAGGGTGTGTCTTGGGCAGGCAAGGGGAAGGGAGAAGAAGACCCCAGGACAAGCTTGATGGGAGACTTGTTCCGAATCCTGGAATGGCTGCAGGAGAGGCAGGGCAGGGTGGCGTACCTGCTGGAGAACCTGGACTTAGAAGGGGATGGTAGAGAGCCGGTCCGACTGGTGAGGGACAGAATCAAGGGGCAGCTGGGGAAGGGGGTGAGCTGTGACGCGGCCAGAATGGGGTCCTACGCGCATCGGCTCAGGATGTACTGGCAGAATGTGGTCCCGGCGGCGAAGTTACAAGCAGAAATGAACGGAGTGACGCGGTCAACCGAGAGGAAGGTGCAAGACATCCTGGCCCCAGGGCGGACCCCAGCACCAGTGAGCCGCAAGGGCTACCACCGGCACTACCCGTGCAACCGAGTGGGGCAGGAGAGGCGAGCCCTGCCCACTCTGGTGGCATATGTAGGAGCGGCGGGGTACAAATGGGAAGCAGGGAAGCCTGGGCCAGGGATGGTGTATGATCACAAGAGTCGAAGGTGGGAGGAGCCCACGGCTCTGGAACGGGAGCTGGCTATGGGGTACGGAGAAGAGGCAACAGCAGCACCTGGGGTGAGCGAGGCGGACAGAAAGAGGGTCCTGGGGAAGGCGATGGATGGCCACGTGCTGAGGTGGCTGATCCAGAGGATGTGGCGAGAGACAGTCGTGAGCTGGGGGCAGGAGGAAGGTAAGGGAGAAGTGGAGGCCGTGCAGCGGGGGGCATGGAGCTGCCAGGAGAAAGAGGTGGAGAAATGGGAGGTGGGGGAAGCAATGAAGAAGGAGGGAAAGGAGGCCATGCAGGAGCTATTGGCTAGGCACAGGAAGTGCTTCGCCTTCACTATGCAGGATCTGGGGAGGTGCAAGGTGAAGGAGATGGAGCTGAAACTGAGCAGCACTGAACCGGTGTTTCACCGCAGGAGGAAAATGCCGCATGGGGACGAGGAAATATGTAAGGAGAAGATCAAAGAGCTGCTGGAGGCAGGATTGAGCAGGAGGTCCGAGTCGGAGTATGCCACACCAACGGTAGTGGCAGCAAGGCGGGACCTGACAGGGGAGGTGCTAAGCAGGAGGATGTGCGGGGACTACAGGGCACTCAATAAAATCACCATAGCGGACAGGTACCCGATGCCAATGGCTGAGGAAATCTTTGACAAGCTAGCTGAGGGGGTGTTCTTCACGACTCTAGACCTGAGGCAAGGGTTTAATCAGATCAAAATTCGAGAGGAGGATATCAAGAAGACGGCCTTTCATGGGCCGGACAGACTGTATGAGTGGCTATACATGCCTTTTGGGTTGCGAAATGCCTCAGCTGTGTTCCAGCGGGTAATGGACAGCGTGCTGCGGGGAGTGGAGTGTGCGGCCTGCTACATTGACGATGTAGTGATATTCAGCACGACCGAGCAGCAGCACCTGCAGGATGTGGAGAGGACCCTGACGGCGATAGAAGCGGCGGGACTCACCTGCCACCCGAAGAAATGCAGATGGGGAGAACAGACCGTGCAGTATCTGGGGTATGAGGTGAAGGGAGGGCAGATAGGGATACAACAGGCCAAGGTGGAGGTCCTGGACAGGCTGAGGGAGCCTAAGGACAAGTCTGGACTGAGAGCGGTGCTGGGCTTCTTGAGCTACTATAGGCGGTTTGTGCCTAACTTCAGCAAGAGAGCTGCGGTGCTGAACGGGCTGTTGCGGGAGGACAAGGCGTGGGAGTGGGGAGAAGCACAAAAGGGGGCGCTGCAGGACCTAATGGCAGCAGTGAAAACCGCAACGGTGCTGAAATTGCCCGCAGCCGATCACCCGTTCACGCTCTACACCGACTGGAGCAGTCAAGGGATGGGGGGGATACTCTGTCAAGAGGTGGAGGGCGAAGAGAAGGTGGTAGCCTATGCGAGCAGGAGCTGCAACTCGGCAGAGGCACAGTACAGTTCGTACATAGGAGAAGGGCTGGCGGCAGTATGGGCTGTGGGGCACTTCAGAGTGTGCCTGCAGGGGAGGGAGTTCACCTTGGTGACTGATCACCAACCCTTGACCTGGCTGATGACAACACCGGGGTTGACGGGCAGGAATGCGCGGTGGGCAATGAAGCTGCAGGAGTACGACTTCAAGATCAAGCACAGGCCAGGGAAAACATTGCAGCATGTGGACGGTCTGTCTCGGAACCCCCCACCGCCAGAGCCTACAGTGACCTTGACACTACTGGCAAGACTAGTGGAGCTGAATGGGGCCAAGGGACACAAGGGGCCAGCAGACATTTGGGAGGACGGACCAGCCATGAGGTGGGTGAAGGGAGAGACGGGAGAGGATGAAGAGCTGACGGCGCGATTAAGGGCAAGGGGACAGCACTATAGGTGGTACCAGCAGCAGTTGCAGGTGCAAACAGAGGATGGATGGAAGTTGGTGCCGGCACCGAGCGAGAGGGAAGCGGTGATCAAGGAGGTGCTCACAAAGCTGGGACACTTTGGGCACGAGAGGACGGTCCATCTGCTGAAGACAGGATGGTGGTGGGAGGGGATGCGGAGGCAAGTAAAGGGGTGGGTGGAGGGCTGTGAGGCATGCCAAAGGAGCAGGGCAAACCTCACCCAGGCCAAGGCAGAGCTACAGTCCCTGCCTATCCGAGGCCTAGGATTCCAGGTGGTCCCTGGATCTGGCAGGGGAGCTGCCGCTGAGCCGGGGAGGCAAGCAATACATAGTGCTCATGGTAGAGCATGTGAGC